ATCATGTCCATCAATAATGTATAATAGTATACCCGTATAAATTTCATTTTATTGAGTACAAAATTTAAGTAGGTACGTGTGCATGCATATATATTATATACATATATTATATGTTTAACCTATATTATATACATTATACATGATAAATGTAGGTACATAAATGTATGTACAAATATTAAAAGAAAAATCTAATCAAATATTCAAACTCCAACTTGAATAAAAAACTATTTTGTATACAATTTTGTTAAACCTAAYATTTAAACAGCGAACTATATCACAATAATATTTTTAATATTAACTGTAATATGTTTCAATTTTTTGAAAACATTTTAATCTTAACAAATAAATAATGTAGGCACCTATATCTAAAACATTTGAAACTGTTTGAAAGTTATAGACCATCATTTTTTTGATATCTATAGCTTTTCTGAAATTTTAAGATTTATTATAATTGTAAGGATATGARTATATAAAACAAAAATGTTTACATCAACATCATTAATAATGATAATGCACTTTTATATAACTTAGTTAATTTAATGAAATTAGTACGTACCTATTAGATGTATATATAGTTTATATATAACTATATAAGTATCAAGTGTATTAGAATTTAATTTAATTAATTTTAAATATGTGGTATTAATTAAATAATTAAATGTTTAATGTCTTTAAAACAGTAGTAAAACAATGTTATGTTTATCTTTTCATTAAGTTATCATTAGGTAATATGCAAACCCCTATACCTACACCTATATAAATAGATAGCTGAGCATTACTTTAACTGATTTATCTAAAATTTATTTTATCATCACAGAATGTACTGCTGAACAATTCAAATGTCATCTTACATCGTTTTGTATCCACAAATCCTTACATTGCAACAGAATAAAAAACTGTCAGGACGGTTCGGATGAAGAAAATTGTCGTATGTTAAAAAACACAAAAAAATCAAAATTTAGCTTGGAATTCGCCACACACAAATGTGTCACATGTCTAGCGTCAAATTATTTTTACTCACTTTTTGTATAATTACCATAATATACGAGAATAAATCTATTTGATAATATAATATATAAATGTAATTATATTATATAGATATATATCAATTGATTAACCACACGTCCACACAACAAATATTTAGAGCTACTTATCACTTATAAGTCATAAGTATAGTTTCGCACTAAACATTAGAATAAAATTGCTATTTTAGCTTTGTGCGTTGCATATTTATATGTAAAAGTACCTAAACATCTTTATGTATAAGGTTATACATAATATAATGGCACTTGTCTTAAAGTACGAAATATATTATTGGTGGTGTTTTAAATTTTAAAAAATTGGGATGTATATTTAGTATTTTCACTCGTCATATGTGTTATAATTTTAATGTCATAATACATTTGATATACTTGCACTTGATGCTTTATGGAAAACGTTCGTAATTGTGTATTGTCCAGTATATGCTCCGGGTTAAATGAAACATTTATGTTAACAAGTTGATTCTAATAAAAAATTTTAATAATGTTTTCAGCTGAAAAAGTTTGTGATGAAAATTCATTTTCATGCCGAAGCACAGATCAGTGTATTGACAAAAAAAAAGAATGTGACCTACGCATTGATTGTGACGACGGATCTGACGAAGAAAATTGCTGTAAATAATACATTTTTCTATGAATTACAATGATATATATTTTAATATAATTRAAATGTATACGTTTAATACAATTTATGCATCTAATACAATTGCAGAGTACACTGTAAATATATTAATTTATTTAACAGCTGCAGAACACACATTTTTTCAAAAAATATTTACTTTTATGAACAATTTTATAGACATTACATTTCAATACTAATATATTTTTATTACCATTCGATCGCTTTAACTTAACCCTTATGATTGCTGGTAGAACGTAGAACTACTATCAATCTTTGATTTTTAAATGACAATTTAATTTTTTATTTCATAATTTGAATCATTAATATCTATAGGTTAATATCAATATTAATCGAGTAGTATGTTTTTATTTATTATAATTTAAAGTTTAAATATGTGTAGTAAAAAACTAAAAACTATATGAGCATATCTGGCAAGGTATACCATGTGAAATTTGTTCTCCACTAATGACTTATCTGTTTGTCCAAACTTAAAATGTTTTTTCACGGTTTAAAACTATATTTATAAATAGTATTAATACTTATTAGGTATAATACGGTTTATATTGTAAGTATCTACTTATAAAATAACACACGTTCTTAACATGTTTAGATTCATCAATACCTACTATATTTAATATTTATCGGTTTTTTTTTATTTTATTTAAAACAATATATTTTTACTTAAACTTAAAATTATTTTTTTATTTTTTTTTAATAGTCAGTCCAAAATGTTTATCACACAGCCGTCAGCCACAGTTCTAATTTCCAATTGCTACATAATAATATGCTTATACTTACCTATATTTTATTAAGTTAAATTTTTTTTCAGCTAATTGTGGTCCTGAAGAATTCCAATGTCACAATGGTAAATGTTTATCCATCGACAAAAGATGTAACGGGAAACCTGAATGCAGTAACGGCGAAGACGAAGTAAATTGCGGGATACCGGGCAGTGACAATTTACCCAGTTTTGGTACAGGTACTATAAATTATTATACACTTCTTACAATATTTATAATCTTCTTCATTCTTGTATAGGAAGTCAAATTATTATATATTATTGAATATCCCAATCCCAATTATAAAAACAAACTGTTACCTATAGTTTTATCATTTTAACGGTTGTTGTCGCTTTCTAAAAATAACACTGGTGTAGAAATATCATGTCGCACTTACATATTTTACAATGTACTACATGAAAATGTACTTGTAATATAATAATTGTACTTATAAAATGGCTTTTCACCAAATGCACATAAACTTCATACCATCTACGCACATCTATTTAGTTCGGTGTAGTTAATAATAAACCACAAATAAAATATAAGCAACACTCAACAAAGCTTTGTACCTATAGACACTATAGTATATTACAAATGTTAGTCATATAATTTTATGCTAACAAGTTTTAATAGAATATTAAGAATTTTCTTTAATTTTATAGTTTAGGGATTTCAAGTAACTCCATACAAATATTATTATAATACAATATTACAATAGAAACACGCATCATGTGTCAAAAACACATTTAAATTCTAGTAAAATCAGAATATTTAAGTTTAAATAAAAATATT